TAAGATCCCACAAAATAAAACATAATTTAAAAAAATTATATATATCTCAAACATTTAGTTTTCCGTTCAAAAACTATAAAATCTTCAAAACATTAGTCACAATTTACAAAAAAAAAAATAATAATAAATAAAGATAAATGGTAAACTAGTATAGGTAAAATACATAAAGTGGTAAATTCATTTTTTTAAGAAAAAAAATCAAAGGAAGGTAGGATCAGATTGTATCTCGATTCTACGATCCTACCCCAAATACAATCCGTATACGATCCGACTCGTTTTTCATACCTACGATCATACGATCCTACGATCAAGATCTCGATTTTGACAACCTTGGGTTATAGGGACATACATAATTGGGTGGGTCAGGTTTTATGGTGGGTGGAGCTGGACAGGATCTTAGTCGGGCTAGGTATTATAACTTGTGTTAAAAACTGAGAGGAATATAAGGAGTCGAATCTGGAACCTCAAGTTTAAGAGACACACAATACGTCTTGGCGACAATGTCAAACTTTAAGCTTTATGAGCTATAGCGAGTCATAGCATTTGTTAAAGTGTGACTTAAGACGACAAATTTGTATATAATTAATATATATATATATATAATATATATATATATATATATATATATATATATATTTCTAATTATTTATTTTTATATACATATATGACTTAAGATGACATTTTCTCAAGGCGTGACGTCTAGTACACGACTTGAAGTTATGTCGAGATTTTTAGAACCATGCACACAAACCAATAAGTCAATGGTTAGTTATTGTTAAATACTGTCGTACAAAGTATTTGTAGTTAAATATAAAAGAAAAACCCCACTTTATATAAAACCACAAAAACTTACAAAACATTTACTCATAAATGTGGATTTTTCTACTTGTGACTTGAAATGTGGATTTTTTTCTCTAGATTGCTTTAATATTTATTAAAGAAAAACCTTTAAGAAGCATCATATCATAAATAGTAGCTCTCTCTCTCTCTCTCTCTCTCTCTCTCTCTCTCTCTCTCTCTCTCTCTCTCTCTCTCTCTCTCTCTCTCTCTCTCTCTCTGGGTCATGAAACTGAGCTCCTCCTTACATCTTACTTTCATTTGTGGAAGATTATCAAGAGTGTCATGGACTTACAGTTTCCTCCGGCCCAACAGAAAGGTTATTACTTATTAGATAACATAATTATCCATAAGACATATGACTCTTAGGCCTTGTTTGTTTTTTCGAAACGAAAATTCATGAAGTCTGCGGACCACTTCTGCAACTATCTGCAGCAGAAGAGGTGGACCAAGCGGCTGCAACCAATAAGAAACATGTTTGTTATTTAACATCTGTAGTAAACTGAAATTTAAATAAACTGATTTTATAAACTGAAAATAGTTCTCAACACCGAAATTTTAATAATTATAGTCTTAAAACATTGAAAGAATACTAAAAAGAACATATAAAAAAACAAAAATATAAAATTTCTAAAAAAATCAAAAAAATGTAAAAGAAGTTATCAATTTTATTCTAGAGAAAACCTAATTTTAAAAAACATAAATAATAAAATAGTAAAAAAATTAAGAAAATATTGTAAACAATGTCTACAAAGTTCGTAAAAGAATTATACATGTTAAAAAAGATGCAACCGAAACTAAAAATATTATTAACAGAAACGGTAAAAAAATAAAAAAAAAAATCAAAGTATTTTTTTATAAAAAAATCAAGTTATAAAAAATTATAGAAACTATAAAAAAATTGTATCAAATCATAAATCAAAGTTTTTAAAAAAAATCAAAGTTAAAAAAAAAAAATAAGCTACACCAAATTTCTAAAAAATAATCATTTGGAAAAAATAAAAGCTGAATAGGTGTAGCTTGAATGGGCTGCGAACTACTGAAAAAATCAAAGTATTACATTGCCGTCAGAAAAACATTGTCTATGGCATGGGTTGCGAAGTGTTTACATTGTGCTTGAATGGGCTTTATACACTCCTTTTCCAACACACTTTCAGTTCGTTAGAAAAAAAAAATCTCTCATTTCCAGTTAAATTGTGATGTGCTTGACAAGCCTTCATTACACTCCTTCTTCAACACACTTTCAGTTCTTTTAAAAGAAATCTCTACACCTGCTACTCTTAAATTTACAACTTTAGTTTCAACCTTTGACTTAAACCTAGGCTGTAAGCCCTTTGGTCTCTGAACCATTAATCTTTTCTAGACTTTAAAAAAATGTTTGAGTAAGCAAATATCTTGAAAGCTACTTCACATGATCTGTTCATACAAAAAATAAGTAACCTGAACTTGCTATAAGACTTTAACTTATGCCATGCATTTTATTTGTAAGTTAGTAATCTAACTCGTGTTTATCATCAATATAGAGTACATTGTTGATTCTGTTTTTGCCACATATTATAACATAGCCCAAATGTTATATCATACATTTTATTGTTTAAACTCCCGCTCATTTAACACAAAAAACATGAAATAGAATGCCCTAGTAAACATTCAAAACATTGTCTTCATTGACACTAAGTTTGGTCCAAATATTTAATGTTGGTGGATAAAACAAAACCTATTAAACTACATAATTCAGATAAAAAAAAACAATACATTAAAACCCAATTCAAAACTTGCATTCTACAATATGATGAAACAATATTACCTCTCTCTCACTCTTCAAGTTACATGGTAAGCAATCTCATTTCACTGGCTCTCTGATTTGGATAGATGTTCTTGACAAGCTTGCTTCAAGCTCATTCAACTCATCCATATCCAGATCATCATCATCATCCTCATCATCATCATTATCATCATGAATCTGGGAATTTCCTTCTTCAGAAACAGCAATGACACTTGTTGATGTACTTGGTCCACCTGTTGATGAGTTATCTTGTGCCTGAAATCAAATGGAACCCAAAAATTAAGCCTTTGTTGATGTACTTGTAATATGCATATAACAACTACATTTTTTTTATCATTAAAACAACTAATTTTTATGGAAATATAATGTCCAAATAGTATAATAATTTCATATATACCTTCTGAGTGGTATTATCAGGTTCTTCTTCTCTGTGGTACTTCTCATATGCCTCAGCATCATCCACAAACAAACTAGCATCAGAAAGAAACAGCTCTCGCCCACTGCAAAAACAACAACAAAATGATTATTTTTAAGAAATGTTTTTAAAAAAAAGTCAAAATGTATGCATTAAGAAAAAACAAATAAACCTCATTCGATCATTCTTAGCCCTCTCTGCTCTCTGAGCAGCCAATCCAGCTTCTTTTTCATCCATCTTCATCTTCTTCCAATCCATAAACAGATCAGTAGTCATTGGAGTTGTTGTTTTCACTTTTGCACGCTGAGGGAATAAGATAAATCAGGTGAAGGGTATAACTGTAAACAAAGAACAAAAAAAAACTGCTTTAGTTAAAAAGATGGAATCTTTACCTGATCTTCAATCTCATCCTCAATAGCTAGCTTGTTAGCTTCTTCTTCTAAAAGAGCCTTCATTTGGGACTTCAAGATGTATCCAGGAGGGAGAGCATGTCTGTAATGACACTCTTTATTACCATTTGGACAAACCCAAAACCAACCATATTGCTTTCTCTCCACTGCATCAAGAAAGTGTTTGCAAACCTGTTCCAAATGTTTTTAAATCAACATATATTCAATAGCAATATAGATTTATGGAAAATGTTTAACAAGTTAAAGAAGCATACAATGTCAGTTGGTTTATTCTGGTTGTACTCTTTTCCTTTCGATTCAATAACTTTTTCCAACATCTCTTGATCCCATTCCTCCATTGTGTCTAAGATTCCACAAGAACAAGTTAGTTATACTCCATATCAAATCACAATAGGAAAAAAAGGAAAAGAATAAGCAATCAAATAGTTGAAAAGAACAACCTTCATCGCGCTTATCACTGAAGATATCAATCTTCTCACCCTTCCTTTGTATATTCAGATCATGAGAGAACTTGCATTTGAAACCTTTTGCACATTGCCCAGCCTTGAAAAACTCGCACAATATAGACTTTGGATCCACACCTGATCAAGAGCACAATTAATGAGTTGAAAAACTATATTAGCAAATATAACTTTAATTGACGAACATGTTTCTCATATGCTTCCGATTTGTATCGCCCATATTAGAATCCAGATAGGTTAATATCAAGTCAAATCATATATTTACAGAGCAATACGGAAAGATTCATGTTTCTCAAGATAAAATCCAATAAAACGAAAATCAATACAAGACCTACCAGGAGGTACTTTAGGTTGAACAACAGCAATCTTAAACAAATCATTCAATTCCTTCTCTCTAGCTTTCTCTTCATCCTTCTTTTTCTGATAATCAAAAAACTCAAACTTACTACAAGAACCACTGAAATGAAAAAGCTTACTAAGATTACGAAACCCTATCGATAGATACCTTAGCAGCGAGTTTGGACGGATCGGGTTTGGGTACAGCATTCAGCTGAAGTGCCTGAACATATTTTTGAACATTTTTGCTCTTGTTCTTGTTCTTAAGCCCAAATGTCTTGTCTTCTACTACTTTCTGCTTCTTTGCTACCTCCGCTTTCGATTGTTTCGGAGGCATCCTCCAAGCTGAATTCAAATTCAAACCTTGTGTATCTTAATTCGGAGTTGGTAATCGAGCCAAGTAGATCGACAGATAATCGGTTGATCGAACGATTGAATATCCGATGAAAAGATTTACTGATTAGGGTTTTGTGAGTTGCCTCCCAGCAGAAGAAGTATAACAGGATTGGACACCACTGCCGAAAGGCTTGTTTTAGTTCCAAGGGTTAACGATGTCAACAACATCTAAGGGTATAATTGTTATTTCACTCATATACATACCATTTATTGGTAAAGTTCGGATATTTTAAAATAAAATAATAAATTTATTTTAAAAAACAATACGACGAAAAGACACAATCTCACAAAAAAGAATATAAAAAGTACAACCTAAATTTTGAACAACCAAGATATAATGTTTATACCAAAAGGGTAAGATGGTAAATTTGGATACGTCTATTGTTAGACTTAACTGTAATATTGGATGGAAAGGTTTTAGTGACCTAATTGTAAATGGAAGAAAGTATAGTGTCCCATTTTAGAATATTAGTTCATAGTCACTACTCACTATCGTGAACGCAGAGCCAACAGTTCCTGCAACACTGCCTTCGTTGAAGTTCGAATACAATATGAAACTCCGTACCATTTCTAGGGTTGTACAGGGAAGAAACAGATCTTCATCAACTCAATTTTACATTTATCGTGTTTCAGCTCAGCTTCATTCAATACCTAAAAGGTTCGTCGATTAATCTACAGCAATTCGTTTTGTATAGTTACTATTTCTGCAATCTGTGATTTTTATGTTATAATTAGTTCTGTTATGATTGTGACAGACCTTCGTTTGGCATTGCATTTGATATTGATGGTGTTATACTTCGTGGACGTACTCCAATCGGAGATTCTCCTAAGGCTTTGAGGAGATTATACGATGATTCTGGTAATATTTTAATCTTGTTCTCAGGTGCTTCTGAGGTCTTCGATTTTCGTCAATACTTGCGGATTTTAAGGCAATTGGTATTCCACATAAATAAATACCTTTAAGCTCTTTTCTCTTCAATAAATGTTCAGAAAAATTCACCATATGGTTCTCTCTACCATTTGACCAGATGCTTTTGAGGTCTTAGTGGTTTTCATACATTCTCTCTACCATTTGCCTGATGATCCAGAATGATCATGACTTACTGATCAGTATTTGCCTCAACTTAAAATTGGATATTCATCTCACTTCCTCTCTCTGCAGGTTGTCTGAAGATCCCATATCTGTTTCTGACAAATGGTAAGTACATTGGAGGATTTGATCCTTGTTTAGTGGAATAATTATGTTTACTTATCCTATTCTCATATGACTAAAGCAATTGTTCCATTCATATGTAACAGGAGGTGGCATCCCTGAATCTAGAAGAGCCTCTGAGTTGAGCCAACTCCTTGGAGTAAATATTGACCCTATTCAGGTAGTACCAAATATGTACTATACTATTATCATAAATTCATAATCAACTTCATCCATTCTGCTAATTAGTTTATTGATACACCATTACATGAATGTCCAACTTATGCAGGTGGTACAGGGTCACTCACCTTTCAAAAACTTGCTGAAAAGGTACCTCTATGATTTATATCATGTCCCACATGAAGTTTGTATTCTGGTTTAATGATGTTAATAAAGTGTTGTAACATTATTATATTTCTTTTAGGTTTGAAAATGAATTAATTGTTGCCACTGGAAAAGGGGAGCCTGCAGTGGTGATGTCTGAATACGGTTTCAAGTAAGTGCTATTAATCTCCATATTCATCATTTACAAAAATTATGGTCTTAGTTCTTTAGTTTCAATGAATCTACAGAAAAGCCATCTCATTAGAAGAATATGCATCTCACTTCCATAACATTGATCCTCTATCACCATACAAAACCTGGACCACAAAGCAGCCATGCAATGAGCAAAAAAACTCCAGTGAGTCAATCCCAAGTTTTGATGTCACTTCTGAAAGAGTTAAAGCAGCTTTTGTTGTTAGTGACCCTGTTGACTGGAGTAGAGATATTCAGGTAGCTCTTTCTTTTATTTAAAAAGTCTTTTTATTGATTTTATTCTTGATATGGGTTTCTTGCAACATAATTTTTGTAGGTTCTTTGTGACATTTTGAGATCAGGTGGTTTGCCTGGAGAGAAGTGTGAGCATCAACCACCTATGTATTTTGCAGCTGATGATCTTGAATATCAGGTCATTTATTATAACATATTATTTTTTAAGATTAATTGGAATAATGCACCGAACATGTTAAAGGTGAGAACAGGCTGTATTTCCTTGTGAACGTCTTGGCATGGGGGCTTTCAGGATTGCTCTAGAAAGCATCTTTAATAGGTATTAAATAAATAATAATCAACAAAACAAAATTTATGTTTATTGTAATGTCTTTTCCCTGGGATCAAGATTTATGTTTGTATGAACATTGATGTAGGATTCACCACAAGCCATTAGAGTATACCTCATTTGGAAAACCAAATCCAGAAGTGTTCAAGAATGCAGAGTCCATATTGAAGCAACTTCTTAATGAAGATCACAAAGACATAATAAATAATTCACACCATTTTGAAACCCTGTACATGATTGGGGACAATCCTTCGGTTGATGTCAAGGGTGCAAGACAGGTTTGTTTTTATTATTTTTGAATTTTTATTAAATTGAATTGTAGTTTTATATAAAAAATTCATTTTCCCTTTTTCTTATATATATTTCAGGCCGGACATCCATGGTTTTCTATATTGACAAGGACAGGTGTTTTTAGAGGAAAAGAGAACCACACAGATTATCCTGCTGATCGGGTAAGCAAGAGTTGAGATAATTTATGATCTTTTTTAAAAAAAAAAAATTATTTAAATTTTGATGTTGAAAAGTATTTATTGATGCTTAAAACATGAAGTAATTGGGTATTGCAGGTTGTTGATACAGTAGAAGAGGCTGTGGAATATATATTGCAAAGAGAGGCTAAATAATGCTTAGCAAAAACACATTTTTTTTATCCATGAGCTCCTCTACAGAAAGAAGGCTCTAGGATTTTGACTATTTTAAATTTCAAAAAGAAAGTATCTCATGTTTTTTTATAATTTTTTTTTAAAATTTCCTGCTGAAGCGGTAGTAATAGCCAATCCCTGGGTTTTGTGACTGTAGCATAAGCAACTCTATTACCTTCAAGCAGGGTCCTTGCGGGTGTACCATTGTTGATGAGATGCCCGTAGGGCATAACTATACAAAATCAAATATTATAAAAGAACAAAGTAACTTGCTTTAATTCAAAGTCAACTAGTTTTCCATATATTTTCTTGTAAAACAACATAAAAACAAAATTTCAAAAAGAAGTTTCAATTTTAGTTCAATGTCAACTAGTTAGATATAGTTAATGACTTTGGATCCATTTGACACACAAACAACCTTCCAATCAAGGTCTATAATAAATACCACATTTGATGCAGTTTAGTCCTTTTATGTCCCCTAAACAAACACACTAAAATAAAGAAGAAAAACATTGCATAATGAAATACTATATAAAGCTTGGATTGAAAAGATAAGTGGTGAAGCATGCAAATATGTTTCTACTGTCTTACATCATCACTAAACCTACATATAAAAGAGTCAAAGTCATAAAGTACATATCTCGCGTTTGCATTATTATTATAAAGTGCTATAAGACACAAAAAAACAAATAAATTGAAAAAAAAGAGCGATGTATACCGCATGATATAACTAATAACTCCATGTCATCAAAGTCTATATATACAAACAACCACAATTGGTAGGGAGGCGCTCACAATTGTTGATTATCCCCAAAGCTCCATGTCTTTATCAAATAAAAAAAAGTGTCAAAGTGTAGAAATCGTGAAATAACCCGGTATCTCTATACAACATCTCACGGGATGGGCGGTGAAGTGTGGAAATCTAAGATCCGAAGTAATATTCTCATCCGTTGCATCAAGTATGATATGCTTGGTAAGTATTTGACATTATCTCTTGTTCTTTCATTTTGCTTTATCATGCATGTCAATTCAATTTTTGTTGATTAATTGATTAATAAACTATTTGTAGACATGACTAGAATGATTTTGGACGCACACCATGATTGGATAAATGCCCCATTTTTTTGTGGGGATGTTTCTTGTGCTTTGACCGTTAAGCCAGATGCACTCAACCGGAGGAAAAATAATATACTTTCGACTACCATCGGAACAAGTAAGTATATTCCCATTAATTTTGATTTGGGTTGGTTTCTAAATCTAATTAGTTTTATTATTATTATTATTATTATTATTTCAGTTTTAAAGGTATTGAATATTAGGAGACCAATTGTAGTAGAGGATGAGACCAAAAAATCCTTGAGTATACCGTTAAGCATTATGGGAGCTACTTATAATTTTGATATGGAAAGTGTTGATTCTTTACTTCTAGGGTCCGAAGAGCTACATGCATAGCTACATGCATACAAATGCTTATTTGAAGCAGCAGGGAGCGAGAACACTCAATTTCTATTTGAGGTTATCCGGATATATGCAGATTTATTAACAAAGACTAATGCAGATGGGAACACGATATTCCATGTTGCAATAATGCACCGCCAATTGGACTATACAATGTGTTGTACTATGAAGTGGGTCTAAGAGGTTTGGATCATTCGAGGCGGACAACAATGACAATACGATACTCCACTGGGTTGGAATTACATCAAGGAGATCCGAACTCGAAAGCACATGCCGATCATACTTGTTGCTCCAAAAGAATGCCTTCGGTTCCGGGTATTTTCATGTTATTTTTACATAAAAATACTTAATACATAAATCTCATTTTTAATGTACTAAGTTGTTACTTATGTATAGTGAATAATGTTTTGTTTGTCAACGATCTACATCCATTGGAAACTAAAGTGATATTTCGTATGCATTTCCTAGTGTAAAACCTTCATTTGCATTAAAAAGGTGGAATACATCACATTAGGTCTTATTACATTATGTGTTCATGGTAACTCGGACCAGAGAATGATGACCTAATTTTGCTGATTGTATCATATACTATAGCCATACCTTTATTAAATGGAAAAAGCATGGCACTCAAGGAAGCATGAGATGTGTAACTCTACGGAACATAAGCAAGATTCATCCCATGCCTAGTAACCCATGATTTTATACCTCAAAAAAGTCTAAGAAGAGTGCCTTTTACTCCATCTCCTTAACTAGCATGTGAATATGTTATGTAACCAGAGCCGGTCCAGAAGCTGGGCAACCCGGGCGACCGCCCAGGGCCCACGTCTCCAGGGGCCCAAAATTTCTAGGCTATTTGGTGTATATATATAAAAAAAGTTATTACCTAAATGATTTTTAGGGCATAAGGTTAATTCAAACTCAAAGTAGCTCAAAAGATAAACAATTTGGCTTGCTTGTTATTGCTAATTGAACAAGTCTATAGTGAAGAATAAATGATCTTTTTTTGAATCTTTATTATATTTGTCTTTGAGGGGCCTTTTTTTTTGTTTTCGCCCCGGTCCCCATATACGTTTGGACCGGCCCTGTATGTAACATTATATAAATGAACTCTAATTAGTCCATACAGTTTGAATGCGATGCGTGTTCAGGTGTTATACCAAAATTGAGCCTAAACAACCCATTGTGTCTAATCGTTAGCTTTTCCTTAGACAAAGCACCTTAAATAGGTCCCAAACGTGTTGTTGATTACTTCGGTTTGACCATCTGTTTGAGGATGGTAAGTCGTGCTTTTCTTCAAAACAATACCTTGAAAACGAAAGTGTTCTTCCCAAAAGTTGCTCATGAAATCTTATCCTTAACTGATACAATCGACGAGGGGAAACCATGCAACCTCACTATCTATTTTACAAATGTGGTTACTACTGTCGTGACTGTGAATGGGCGTTTCAAAGTAAAAAATTGGTCATATTTCGATAAACTATCCACAACAACCAAAATGGTATCAACTTCATGGGATTTCGGGAAAAAATCCCAGTAAAGTCCATCAATAATTCACCCCAAACTTAATTTAGAAAGGCTAACAGTTGTGTAACATCCCGACTCCCATGTATAATATTTATACATTTATTTATGAGTTGTATGAGCAACTCGACGAGTTGGGTGCCCCAACTCGTCGAGTAGAGACGAATTTAACCACGTGGGTTTTACAACCAACTCAGCGAGTCGGAGAGACCAACACGACGAGTTGGCGCAGTGAGAGGAAACCCTAATTCTCCGGGGTTGGGCCCTATTTAAAGGACCTTAAGCCCTTATTTCCGCCTCACCATCCACCTTACTCCCCTGTGTGAAACCCAAATCGCCTGTATGAGCTAAGAGAGAGGGAGAGAGAGAGAGAGAGAGAGAGAGAGAGAGAGAGAGAGAGAGAGCTAATCTTTGGGCATTTTAGTGTACTTTTTGAAGAGAAGAGTGGAGTATCAAAGCAAGGATCGAGAAGAGACTGTTGGATCTGGTGTTATTTCATCTAGAGCATCTGTTGAAGGTAAAAAGTCTCTACCTTGCTCATTAGTTTGATTAGATCTCATTTTATGGAGTTTTAGGGCTTATTCCATCTTTCCTTGAGGATTTGAGTGTGTTGAACTTATCAAGTGGTTGAGACTTCAAATCTGGACTTTGTGAGGTCCCTAAAGTCCAAAGGTCCGAGCTTTATCCAGCTAATAAAAGAGCTTTCATGATTAAGACCCTAAATGGAAGTTGTTTTGGCATTTCAAGCCCTAAGTGCCATGCATGGACGTAAAGCTTGCAACTTTACGTGGTATATCAGCCTTGGGAGGCTAGATCTAGAGTTTGGGGTTGTAAATCTGCCTTAAAACGTCTGAATGAGAAATAGGATTTTAAGGGACTCGCCGAGTTGATGAGCCAACTCGACGAGTCAGCTAGGGTTTTCCCCGATGAGTCTGACATGAGTAACTCGGCGAGTTGATGAGACAACTCGACGAGTTAAGTTGGGTTTTTGCGACATTTCTGAAGGAACAAGGGGGGCTCGACGAGTCACATAGATGCACTCGACGAGTCGGGTCAACATGGACTGTTGATTCGAGTGTTGACTTCAGTTGACTTTAGGGTTTGGTCAAGACAGGGTGTACGGAGACCATGGAGGGGTAGAATGGTCTTTTACCCATTCCAAGTGTTAGAGAGAGAGAATAGCCTTTGGTTATTTAGAGTTGTGAATGGAGTGTTAATTAGAGATAATTACCATATGTATTAGGCGGAGGCTAGATTGGTGATTCGTGTACGGGATTCATTTGCTTGATTTCGAGGTGAGTCTTCTCACTATACTTACCTTGAGTGGTAATTTTGTGTGACCGGAGGGTCTTATGTGCTTATATTAAGTATTGTCATATCCTGCATTATGTCTTTGTGATTTATGCTGTGTATTATTCTGAGCTTACTGAGTTAGGACCGGAGGGTTCACCCGAGTTGTGGGGCTGGAGGGTTCCACTGAGACACATTGACCGGAGGGTCTTGTTTGAGTATAGCCATGAGAGGCTAATGAGATGTGTGTGGTATTTTGGGGAACTCACTAAGCTTTGTGTTTACCGTGTTATGTGTTATGTGTTTCAGGTACTTCTCAGGATCACGGGAAGGCACCGGCTTGATTGTACACACGAGGCAGAGTTATGAGGATCCTGGATTGTGTTTAAACAATTATTGAACATGTGTTTTTGATACATTGTCATTTTGGGATTTGTGAACTATGTTTATGAGAAATATGTGTTTTTTTTAAATGAAAATTTTGTTTGAAAATTTACGGTGTTACAAGTTGGTATCAGAGCCTTGGTTTGAGGGATTCAGATATACCTTCTGGTGTATCTGGACTCAAACTGAGGGTTTGAGAAAATTTTTCAAAAGAAATGATTTTTCCTAAATGAGAGAGTTTTTAAGAGAGGAACGAGTTGGAGCAGTGTGTACAATCAGCCAGAGCCCGAACGGTGATTTCCCAAAATACCCTTACTTTTTTGTGTTACGAGATATTTATGAGATGTTAGGGATTCATGCTAGAGGATAGGCTAGGTATTTCATATTTAGGGCTAGAGTTTCCTGATTGTGATGTCTTAGCCTAGGAGTTGCTGCTATCTGTTGTTGCCTTGAGTATGTGCTGAGTAGGAGTATCTAGCAGGAATCACTTAGAAAGAGTTCTGAGTCGAGGGTTAATCTAGGAGAGATATCTAGATAAGTATATGAGGAGTCTACTGAGAGAGTAGTCTGATATACGTGAGAGATAGAGTACTTGTTGTCACACCCCGAACC